GGGCACTTTTCCAGGGAGGAATCAGGGGCCGCCCTGACATTTTGTATTAAACCTTTACCTCAGTTCATAAATGAGAACCACTCAGAAACCGAGCGATTAAACAAGACCTACATTTAAAATTTAGGTTTTATTTGCAGAACGAGTGGATGGAGGTAGTGAGAAAAGTCCGGGAGGTGTTCTTTTTGTCTGCACTGAGCCAGACGAGGCCCCCTGAGAAGCCTCCCCGCGAAGAGAGGCCATCCGAAGTGAGGCCCCACGTAGAAGGGCAACCCGAGGAAAGGCCCCCTGGAGAGAGTCCCCCCAAAAATGGGCCACCCGGAGAGAGGCCCCCCGAAGAGAGGCCATCCGAAGTGTGGCCCCACGTAGAAGGGCAACCCGAGGAAAGGCCCCCTGGAGAGAGTCCCCCCGAAAATGGGCCACCCGGAGAGAGGCCCCCTGAAGAGAGGCCACCGGGAGAAAGGCCTCTGGTCATCCCAAAAGAGGAGCCTGAGCATAGCGTAGAGAAATGCGATTCGGATTATGAGTAAGCTATCTGCAGTCTTATCATCATCCTCATTTCAGCCATAGGACGTCCACTGCTGAACATAGACCTGCCCCAATGCTTTCGATGTTGCCCGGTTGTTAGCGACCTTCCTGCTACCTTGTCAAAACACAAATGTACCACCAACTATCAAATTAACTATCACTAGAAACAGTGTAAGCAATTTAAAGTTGTATACCTCTAAAAAAACACCCTTTATTATTAAGGCTTGAGCATAAGGAAGGCTGAAGTACATCTGAAATCTCTGAAGTTTGACTCAGTTATGCGCTAGCTAGACCCTTAGTTTTATTTTTCTATTGCACAATACAGATAGATTTCATTCAATGGGTAAAATCCCATTCATAAGAATAGGCGCACACCGTTGATTTTTAGTTGACCGATAGTTGTGCCCGATTTCAAATTGTATGAAGAATCGGCTAAATCGAATCGGCGTAGTGTGCGCACTCCCATACATGCCCATACTGATCCA